GGCTTGAAGCTACGGGCTAGCCCTTCAATTCAAGCTACACAGCAAGCTCCACCTCTCAGTGGTAGTCCGGCTACAGCGTATCGCGCAATCTCGCTCTCAATCAGATGCTACGCTCTCAATCAGGCGAATATGTTGTTGTATCTGTTTTGGGGCGAGGAAAACCGTTTTGGGCCTCCGTCGGCGAAGTAGAGAGGAACGAACGGCCATATTTGATTGATCCTGCAGGACAAATGCTCCGTCCTCTCGAGGACGCGTGGTCAATGGTCTAGCCGCTATGGCATGCAAACCGTTACAGTAGTACGCCCCCCTTCGAAGTTTTCTACATTTGTGTTTCCACACAACAGACAGACTCAAAGCAAGCCACCAGAGCACTCAATGAATCAACTTACAATCGCTAACAAGAGTATCCAAGACGACCAGAGGAAGGCAGTCCGGTCTTCCGCAAGCAGAGATATATTTTGTGTATTTCGGCTATTTCTTCTACTCTGTTCATCTTTGGTTGCCATCTATTTGTACGGTCGTCTTCCTTCTACTTGAATGCCTACCAAGCCCTCACCGCCATCCGTCTCGCTAGGGCCGCTCGCCCCAATGGCGGGCAGGGGGCCAATCCTTCACCATTAATTATTCTACAGAAAATTCGGGAAAATGAAATCTCAGGTTGTCGGTGTTGGTAAACTCGTGGCTTCTGGGGAAAATATGTTTTATTTATTTATTTTTGCCTTCCGACAATTGCAGATGTACCTCAGAAAACTTATTGTTGAGACCTTGGACCGGGAGAACAGGTCAAAAGGTGAAGTGAGCAAGGGTGGGGAGCACCACAGCACCGCAGCACCGCAGCCACCACTCGTCCGTGTCGCTCGACCAACGCACACAAGCAGAACACAATGATATCGGAACACAAAGACTCAACAGACAGGGGCTAACGTACATCACAACGTACTATGAATCCTCTGACTGATGCACTATCCACAAGAAACACACTCGGGGTAATGCACCATCCACGAAGAACATTCGCCGCACAGAACGTTCCTTGCAGTTCTGATAATACTTCCTCTGTATCATAAGTTAGGGTATCTAAATGCAATAGATTGTCTGGGTGCAACCGTGTTAGTGATTGTAGCATAGTCGGGTTTGTAAGAAAGATATAACAAAGGAGAAGCGATGGAAAAAATCTATTTCTGTATCTACTATTGGTCAAAATGTACCCTATTTTGGCCTGTTTGAAATTCTCAAATCCATTTTACTACCCTACTCTAGCGATGGAATCGCCCCCCAGCACACCACCTCGCAAAAGGGGCACCGAATTATCGGTTGGTAGGCGCTATGCCATGGCGGTAGAAATTGCGATGGGCATTCAGCCGGGGTTGTCAAGGATTCCCAAGGGCGTGCTTGACCCGATCTGCGAACGCTACGGTGTTGGAAAGAAGTACCCGTCCAAGTTGTGGAAACGGGTCAAAACCCAGATCGACAACACCCAGGAGCTGGACCTTTCAAACGAAGCAAAGTGGGCGGCCGTCGCTTCTCACCCCTTCAAAGATTGCGGCGGCATCGAGTCCAAGTGATGATGAGGAAGAATAGTCGACTTTTTCTTTTTTTTCCCCGCCACCAACCAACCCTTCTTTTTGTCCCGCAAGTGTCTTGATTTTAGTGTGACCCCCCAAGTGTCTTGGTTTTAGTGTGGTTCACTACTATACTGATTTTAGTATAGGGGGCGCGACATGGATCGTTGAGTAGAGGGGGGGGTTGGATGAGGGCCCTACTGTTGCTTGCTTTGCCCCGTAAGTGTCTTGGTTTTAGTGTGGTCCCCCCATGTGTCTTGTTTTCAGTGTGGGGGCCACTATTATGCTGTTTTTAGTATGGGGGACGCGTCATGGATCGTTGAGTAGGGGGGGGGCTAGGTTTAGGGTCAGGGATAATTCTTGGTATTTTTGCCTTGTTTTTGTCATTGCCCCGCCCCCCCCGCCTGGTCGGAGGGGGCAGAATACATGCAAAATGCGGCCTTTTTCAGGCCGACTGGTTTTTCTCGGGCGCTCATGCACGCGGGGTGGCGCATGCATATAAATTAAAATAAATGTTTCTTGCTAAAAAAACTCCGAAGATTTCAACAAAAAAATCGAAAAACAGATCGGACACGGTTAAGGGCCCGTACAAATTTAGGTACCCTAACTTGTGATACAGAGGAAGTATGTGCCTACTCAACGATCTTCAACGCAGACAGTCCCGCAATGCAAACTGTCCAATCAAGTTGTTCTACGCCGTCACTCTATCGACACACACAGCAGAAACTATCACGAACAGTCGGCCGGTCTACCGAGCTTGGGAATTCCTCTTACACCGTATGTCGTTGATCAAGGCTTACCCATTAGACTACCGAGTCAGCGCTGACTAAGTAGTCTAATGGGTAAGCCTTTGTCAATCAAAAGATACACTCTCGGCTCGTAGAATCCCGGGCTGTGAGTAGAGATCTCCGGGGACGGACCCCTCGCCAGGCGCTGCCGAGAACAGAACTATGGTGCTTTTCGTAAAGTGATCAGCCCGGGATTCGAACCTGTCCGTGTATCCTTTGAAAGATAAAGACTTACCCATTAGACTACTGAGTCAGCGCTGACTCGGTAGTCTAATGGG